TGGCAGGGTTGGAACTGGATGATCTTTAAGGTCCCTTCCAACCCAAACCATTTTACGATTCTATGATTCCATGATTTCACTCTTGTGTGTAGATTTCGGACGGTGTGTGGATGGATTGTAAAAATTTTGGCCCAAGAGCTGAGTCTGTGTCTGTGACACAGGATTTTAGGGACCATGTGCAGTTACACCTAGCAGAGCATGTCAACGTGAGCTGAGCAGGGCTGGCTGAGCATCCAGTGGATGTGAGGATGAGCTGTGTTTCATACTGGATCTGTGTTTCATACTGGATCTGCTTGCCCTCATGACATGGCAACTGGTTGCGTTTGCCTGAGATGAGGCTGAACAAGCAGAGCCTTGGTCTGCATAGACACATGAAGCCAATGATCCTATAGCTTAACTATTTTCAGGGTTGGGTTTGCTTTTGTTTGGATTTTTTTTAACAAGTGTGTTAAAAGTTGACTGATGTAAAACTAGTTTTGGTTTTGTTGATCTTAGGTGCTAACCGCGTGACCCTGGAGGACTCCAACATCCTTCAGCCGATGGGACTCACTGTGCTGGGGAATCACTTGTATTGGATTGATCGTCAGCAGCAGATGATTGAGAGAGTGGAGAAGATCAACGGGTACAAAAGGACTAGGATTCAAGGCCGAATTGCTCACCTAACAGGCATTCATGCTGTGGAAGAGCTTGACATGGAGGAGTTCTGTGAGTTTATTTCACTATTCAATGTCTCTCCCCCTCGGTCACTGTCTCTCAGAAAGTCATCATCCAGCTGAATATTGTAATGACATTGCCCAGTGGGCTTCAAGTAAGCCATGAAGTACTTTCAACTTGACAGTCAGGGTCCTAGAAGAGGAGGAGAAATAAGTTCTTCATTCTTGTCCAGAGTATTTCTGCACAGAATATGTGATTTCATGGCACTTGGTTACTTGCTTTGTAGAAGCTCACATGATACTGAATTCACTCTAAAACCTGCTGGTAGTGATGGTTGTTATTTTTTTCAGCACAACCAAGTAATAAGACTTGGAGAAAGCTTTAAAAAGAAGGAAAAGGATTGTACTTGCCTTTGCTCCAGGGGTTTCAGACCCCTATGTAAAGCATGAGTGGTTTGACTCAGCACAATTGATGATGTAAAATCCTCCAGTGAGGGATGGAGAACAAGCAGGAAGCTCCTACAGGGAATTATTGTGGATGTGAAATTTCTCTCCTGTCACATGTGGAGCCATTTTAGGTGCTGCCTTCTGAAAGGGGTCACACATGCAGGACCTTCTTTTTCTGGACTGGTGGTCCAAGTTCCTGTGGTCTGAGGGAGAGTGCAGGAACCTCTTCAAGTAGTTACTCCTCTAAGTGACAACCTGCAGCTCCTCCTGCTTTACAGGAATAGAAAAGAGAATATAAAAGCACAAACAGAGGGCTCATGACAGTGTCCTCTTTAAACTACGTTGCCTGTGATGGTTCTCCTATATAGAGAGTGTACATGTGTGAGTAATGCTTTAATTTTCAGAAGAAACTATTCCAATTTACCACCGTCTGTGCCATGTACTTTAGTTTTGGTGACAGCTGAAAGTATTTTCAAGCTTGCCTGTGTGGGTAAACTCTTACAAATAAGGTAGCGTAAGTATTTAAACTGTAGTAGATTCTTTGTGATAATCCTTGTCCAGATGTTCTTTTTTCTTTCCCAATACCTAGTTTTTTTTCTTTCCCAATACCTAGTTTTTCTTCTTCCATGCCATTTTTCATATTTTAATGGATTTCAAAGGTAATACTGAAGGATGCAAATATTTTTTTTAATTCTCAGCACTGTTGAAGAGTTTACTTCCTATCCCACGTGGGTTTTTTAATTGTTTATTTTTTTATGTTTCTGCCAAATCGCACTAAAAGGAATCGCCTTTTGCAGCTGAAAACTGCCCTTGTCTTACAACAGGGGAGTAAAAATACATACGCACATGTGTGCCTGCCCACGGAAGTACACGTGCGTGCGCTTTTTCTGCTGGCAGCCCATGCCTCAAACAGTGCTGTCTCCAACACTGTGTTAAATTAATGCATTTGGTAAAGGTGGAAGCAGGTTGCTGAGAAGCCTGAACAGATGGCAACCATCTTTGGCACAGAAATGATGGTATCTTTACCTTTTCTTCCCTGTGGAAGTTCTCGGTCCTTACTCGTAGTAAAGTATGTGTTGTTGAGCAGTGTCACAAAGAACCCAGCTATGGCCCCATATGGGTCACTCCAGCAGACTGGGGTCTCCTCTGACCCTGGTGGGCTGGGGTCCTCAGACAGAGACCTCACTTCTCTCTCTCTGCCTGTTCTTATCCACCTGATGTTCATTTAGAGTGATTAGGAGCTGTTGAGTACTCGGTGCTTCTGGGTAACTGATTTGGGAACACAACCATGTAGCTGCCTATCTTAATAAATAAATAAATAAATAAATAAATAAATAAATATATCTATATCTCAACTGTGTGTGCTTATGTTGCAGTTTTGTGAGTAACAGGGAAGTGGAGGGGATAGATATTAAGAGCTCTTTAAGATTAAAGGAGAATTCCTGAGGGGTTTTGGGGTTTCGGTCTCTTGTCCCAAGGAACAAGTGACAGGGCAAGAGGAAATGGCCTCAAGTTGTGCCAAGGGCAGTTCAGATTGGATATCAGGAAAAATTTCTTCACCAACAGGGTTGTGAAGCATTGGAAGGGGTTGCCCAGGGCAGTGGTGGAGTCCCCATCCCTGGAGGTATTTAAAAGCCGTGTAGATGTGGTGCTCAGGGATGTGGTTTAATGGCGGACTTGGCAGTGTTGGGGTTTTGGTTGGACTTGATGGTGTTTAGGGGCTTTTTCAACCAAAAAGATTCAATGTATTCCTCATGAAGTGGGAGCACTGAACTGAAAAATCCTGCATTTATCTTCCTATGAATTTGTCGTGAAATCTTGGTTACTCAGAGAGAAGTGGTTTGTGAGTGGCTTTGATTTTGCCCTAGCCTAGGAGTAGTGGCGATTTCTTTCATGCTAATAATACTCTTGTGTGTTTCTCCAGCTGTGCATCCATGCTCCCATGACAATGGAGGGTGTTCACACATCTGCATTGCCAAAGGGGATGGGACTCCAAGATGTTCATGCCCTGAGCACCTCGTGCTTCTGCAGAATCTCTTAACCTGTGGAGGTGAGTTCTGTTTCACAGTACTGCTAAGGTTTGTATCAGAGAAGATGGGGGATGAGGTCACATTCCAGTCCAAAATGTGGATTTACACACAGTGTTTTCCTACACGTGGTGTGTTGCATCATGTGTTAAATTGACCTTTGATTCTTCTCCCAGCTGTTTTCTGCTTCAGTTTTTGGACATCTGTGACTTGCCACTGTGAGCAGAATATTCTTGGTTGACCTTAAAATACTTGCATCTTCTACTGAGATTGTTGTAATTGTATGATGTGACAGGTTTGTGCTTTAAACAAATGCTTATAAAAGGATATTGCATCAACCCATGATGACCTGGCAGGAGAAATTGTGCATATGATTCCCACAGAGTGATACTCCAGTCTTTCAAATGAATTTGGCCTCATAATATGAAACGCTGCACTGTCTGGTTACGAAATGTAGGCAAAAAGCTCCATTGCAATCCTTTCTGATTAAGGTAGCTCTCCTCTTCCCACATGGTAGACTTTTCCTTTTCACAGTCCCAGGATTTTAAAAAATTGTTACATTACACTTTCAGGGGGGATTAAAAACAAAACCAAACCAACATTGTTTCTTTTTGGGAGGCAGCATATCTTAAATCGTTTGCCTCTGTTGGTCCCCTTCTGTTTATGTATTCATTTTGCTGGGGATTTCATTTTCTGGCTGAACTCTGCCCTCCCACGGGACAGTCGTTGCCATTATAAACTGTTTTCTTTCCCATGACCACAACATGTTTCAGGGATGGGCAAATCAATCTGCTTCTATTTCTTGCTCTGCTGTTGTTGCACAACATGGCCAATGAGAGATTCTTACGTCCTACTCCTTTCTTATCTTCAGCTATAAATCTAAAAATTAAGGGGGCCTCCATTTCAGTGTCTGTTTCTTTTTATTCTACACTTTTATTTTATTCTATTTTGCACTAAGCCTGCAATAAACTTTTTAACTTATCTTGTCGGCTGTAGTAGCAGCCAATAGCCAGTATTTCAAAATAGATTAATTTTGGCTGGAGGACATTTGTCCATGTACCCTTCTGAATGCTCTTGACAAGTTCTTAAATGCAAGCTTGTGCCTGCCAAGTGCAGCCATCATGCAACATTAAATGTGGCTCTAAATGCAGAATGAGTAATCTGTCTGTTGAATTATCTAAACGGCGCACTCATATCAAAATTTAATTCAAGAGTTATCTTAATGTGCGTATCTGGCTTTTTTGTCTTACCTACAGCTGTCAGGTCACTGGCTACATTCGTAATTCTCATATTGCTACACTAAATAATCATGAATCAGAAACTTAAAAATCATAAAATTTTCAAAAATCAAATGTGCTTGGATCATTTGCGTATTTTTTTTCAAGCTCTTGATTATACTAAGTCCCTTTCTTGAACATTTCTTCATAATAAAGGAAGGACAGCATTGCTTTCAAAATGTTTTGCTTGTAATTGCAAAGCTGTAGGATCTGTAACATCACCCTCAGGAGAAAAATACTCATATATACCAGAGTCTTGTCATTGCTGAATGGACCTGAGAAGCTTTCCTGATGCTATATATGAGGTCCATGAACGTTAATAAAAGCTCCTTTGGTTTCCAGAGGAGTGTTACCACCCAGGGTCAGAGCACACCTCACAGAATCACAGAATCATGGCATGGTGGGGTTGGAAGGGACCTCGAAAGATC